TGCCCGTCTCGCTGCCCGGTGCCGCCTCACCGCCTCACCGTGGCACCTCCGCACCCTAAGCGCCACCATGCCGTGCCCTTGACCTGTCCACGCCCCGCCCGTAGACGCCTCAGTTCATGGGCGCGATGCCGCCGGGCAGCGTGCCCGGCTCCGCATCCCCCAGCGCCGCCGCCGGCGGGGCAATGGGTGGAGGCTACATGGGTGGAGGCTCGGTCTCGCCCGGTGGCCGCGGTGGCGGTGGCGGCGGCGGCGGCGGCGGCGGGAAGATGCAAGGCAAGGGCGGCGGCAAGATGGGCGGACGCGGCGGCGGCGGCGGTGGCGGCGGTGCCGGCGGCGGCAAGATGGGGGGCCGGCCCGATCTGCCGCCGGGCCCGCCTCCGCCAAAGCCCGAGGAGGCGGCGACGAACCTCGAGGCGTACGACGACATCCCCGTCGAGGCTTCGGGCGAGGACTGCCCCAACCCGGTCGAGCAGTTTGCCGAGCTGCAGCTGCACCCGCAGCTGATGCACAACATCGAGGTGGCGCGCTACATGCGGCCGACGCCCGTGCAGCGGCACGCCATCCCGGTCGGCATCGCGCGCCGCGACCTTATGGCTTGCGCGCAGACAGGGTCGGGCAAGACGGGCGCGTTCCTCTTTCCTGTCCTGCACCAGATCATGGCGGCGCTCGACGCGGCGCCGGACATGCGCCCGCGCGGCTGCGCGGAGCCGCGCTGCCTCATCCTCTCGCCGACGCGCGAGCTGGCGACGCAGATCCACAAGGAGGCGCTGCGCTTCATCCAGCGCTCCAAGGTCTTCTCCGTCGTCGTGTACGGCGGCGCCGAGATGAAGACACAGATCAACGCGCTCGACCGCGGGTGCCACGTGCTCGTTGCGACGCCAGGGCGATTGGTGGACCTGATCGAGCGCGGCAAGGTGCGGCTCACGTCGATCGCGCACCTCGTGCTCGACGAGGCGGACCGGATGCTCGACATGGGGTTTGAGCCGCAGATCCGGCGCGTGGTGGAGCGGGAGGGCATGCCTCCGGTCGGGCAGCGGCAGACGCTGATGTTCTCGGCGACCTTCCCCAAGGAGATCCAGCGGCTCGCGTCCGAGTTCATGACGCGCTACATCTTCGTGGCGGTGGGGCGGGTCGGCTCGACGACGGCGCTCATCACGCAGTCGATCCACTACTGCGAGGAGAACGACAAGCGGCGGCTGCTCATCGAGCTGATCGCCGCCAACGCCGGCCGCACCATCGTCTTTGTGGAGACCAAAAAGGCGGCCGAGCACTTGGAGGAGTTCCTATACCGCTCGCAGATCCCGGCCACCTCGATCCACGGCGACCGCTCGCAGCGTGAGCGCGAGTACGCCCTCGCCTCCTTCCGGCGGGGACACCCGGCGGTGCTGGTCGCCACAGACGTGGCGGCGCGCGGGCTGGACGTGCCCGACTGCATGCATGTGATCAACTACGAGCTGCCGCGCGACATCAACTCGTACGTCCACCGGATCGGCCGCACGGGCCGGATGGGCAAGCAGGGCGTGGCCACGTCTCTCTTCTCGCCGCTCAACCGCCCTGTGGCGCGCGACCTGGTCACGCTCCTGCAGGAGGCGAACCAAGCTTGCCCCGACTGGCTCGTCGCCATCGCGGAGCAATCGGGCCACGGAGGGGGCCGCGGCTATCAGGGCCGCGGCAAGTTTGGCGGCCGCGACTACCGCTCCAACGCCCAGGTGCGGCGCTACCAGCACTCGGCCGTCGGCGCGATGCCGGGCTACAGCCAGGGGTACCAGCAGGGCGGCTACATGCCGCAGCAGGGTGGGTACTACGGCGGCGGCGGGTACATGCAGAGCAAGCAGGGCGGCCACTACGGCGGCGGCGGCGGCGGGTACGGCGGCGACGGCGGCGCCGGCGGCTGGGGCGGGTACGGGCAGCAGTACGCGCAGATGCCATACCAGCAGCAGCACTATGGAGCGCGTGGCGCGGGAGGCGGCGGCGCGTACGGTGGCTACCAGGCCTCGCCGCATTACCAGTACTACAATCAACAGCCGGCGCAGGGCGGCGGCGAGGGCGGCTCCCCTGCGATGATGCCGATGGGGATGGTGTGGCAACAGCAGCAGATGCCCCCAGGCGGCACCGCCGGCCACGAAGGGCACTACGCGGGGTACGCCCAGTGAAGGGAGGCAAGCCTTGCGGCGAAGGGCCGCGCGCGCGGGGGGGGGGGGGGGCGGGGGCGCGCCTCGCGCACGCCCAACCCCGGCGGAAACGTGCGGCAGCCAAGACACGGAACCGCCCAGAGAGACGAACGGGGGGAAGTCAGCTCAGTGTTTGTAATTTATGTGCGGGGCGAGCCCCCCAGGGGGGGGGGGGGGGGGGGGGCAATCGGTCGGCTTGTTGGTGCGGACAGGGAGGCGAGAGGCTCGCATCTTGTCGCGGCCGCGACTCGTGTGCGTCAAAGTGCCGCATGTGCACAATTCACCCAACGACATGCGAGTGTCGCGTATTTTGTGAGAGAGGTGAGCGGGGGGAGGCGCGGGTGCCGGCGTGTATTTGGAAAAAGATGCGATGCCAAGTATACAAGTGAGAAAAAGACTAAAGAGGTACACCGCACAGACTTTGAGACTATACAGTCGGGCCGATGTGTGTGTACCACGGGGTCGGGTGTGCGTGAGAGCAGCACGGCCACCGAGACCCAGCGACATACATGCACACACGCGAAATGCAAAGCAGTGTGTGCGCACGCGGCACGCGCGCACCACACTCCGTCAGTGCCAAGTGTGCGCACGCGGCCCGCGCGCGCACCACAGCATACACCTCAGGTCGTCACAGCAGACAGCACCACACGTGGCGGTTTGTCGTCATCACGTACCTCTCGCAGTCACGCGCGGCCAACGGCAAGTGTACACGATAAGAGCCATGCAAGCAAGTCCAATGGCAAGCGCTGCATGCGGACCCCCCCCCTCCCCCCCCGCGCCTCCAGATGCGTCCAAGAAGCGAGTTTGCTCACGCAAATGCAGGGGAGAGCCCCGGGCCTGTATCAACCGTCAGCTCCGGCTGGGCGGCGGTGTCGTCGCTGTCGCTCTGAGGTATGTCGGGCGAGCCAGATCGCGAGCTGGTGGACCGAGAGCTGCCGGACCGCTTCCCATCCGCCGGCAAGGCATCGGGGAAGAAGCGCGTGAGCAGCATCTTCACCAGCCCGGCTCTGTCCTCTAGCGAGCCGGACCCAGCCACCGCACGCAGCGTCATGGTCGGCCACCGCTGCAGTAGCACGCTGGGCTTGCCATTCAGCTTGAAGAGCAGTACTAGCCGGCGCACACATTCGGAGTGCGATCCGTCTGTGGAGGCATTGAGTGCTAAGAGGGCCGAGGTGAGCGTGTCGGTGTTGCACGAGCGGAGCCTGCCACTCCAAGTCTCGACGAAGCTGCTGACGGGGCGCGTGCGCGTCGGAATGGCCGGGGGGGGGCGTGATCGCGGCCCCCCTTCCGAGGGCGCCGCTGCCGAGGGCCCGCCGCTGCCAAGCCCGCCGCCGCCGCCCCAAGCCTCTGGAGATCTAGTTCGCGGGGGCGGCGTGGAGGGCGGATCCGCGGCGGGCGAGGATGCGGCGGCGGGACCAACAGAGGTCCCATCAGCGAAGCCCGAATCGTTTCCGGACATCGCCCCCGGGGGCCCTCCCCAGCTGGCGGGTGGCGCCCCTACTGCCGACGGCCCAACTCCGAGGGCGCAACGCTTCCTGATCGTCCGATCAAATGCGGCGCCCGAGTCTTGTAAAGGGCTCGAGGGGTACTCGAGGGGTATTGATGCGATCGAGATCGAATGTGAATCGCAAAAATGGTCAGTTCAAGTTTGTGTCTAGAGGGAAGGACAGGCGGGCGACATTTGACGACGTCGGGGATCACAATGTGACGACCAAAACGATCTTGGGGGCCAGGGTGAGACAACAACAGGTCGGGGTGCCACGCGGGGCACACCACAGGCGTATTCTAGAGGGGGAAAAGAAAATTCTAAAATTTTCGCGCAAAAATCTGGTTGTTGCACTGTTGCACTGGAATGGGGTCGACAAAGTATTTGGATAAATTTCAGATTACCCGGTTTTTGAGATTCGCCTCGCAGATCACCCGGCGTTTTTCAGATCACTCGGCGTCTGCGACTTTTTGCCTCGCAGATCACCCAACACGGCGAAATGTCGTTTCCAGGTGGGGCTCTCCTGCTCCTGACAAGGGACACGACAGGCTCGCAGCGCGGTGCGCGGTGGACTCCCACATCCACTGGCGGTCTCATCTCAGTCTAGCGACCTGCCTCCAGCTTGTCGCTGGCAGTCTCTCCTACCACAGGCACACTGACACAGGGGTGGCAGGGGCGGCGGCACGAGTCTCCCACATACTATGCGGGCCTCACTAGAGGTGCGGCCCGTCTGAACCACAGCGTGTCCCGACTCGACTGCCGGCGTCCCAGTCCGGGGGTGTTTCTCTTCTTATCCGTTACCATGTAGAGCAACGCCGAGGGCGGGCCCTTTCGGGCTCGGGCCGCCCTCTCGCCCGCACCTCTGCGGGGCTCGCACGTGGCAGCGACTCGACTGGTCGCGTCAGCCCCTTTGTGAAGCCTGACACGCTATCCACTGCTCAGGCCATGCCTGACACGCCCACCAAAGCCTTGGAGTCTTCCGAAATTCGGGATCTCCTACATGGCGCTAAACAAGAAGCTGATGCAATGGTGACGGAATGCAGTTTCGACCGTGCCGCCGCCCTCGACGGGCTTGCGGCGAACCTGGCCACTCTTCTCGAGTGGAGCCGACTGCATCACAGCGATGGCATCGCTTTCTTCCTCACTACGAATTGCGCTGTCTACATAGATAACATTGCGCCCACTGTTTGCTGCACCCAACACGATGCGGTGCGCTGCGCGCGCTACGAGCTGAAGCTGCTCAAGACGCGTGCCTTTGCCGACTTGCTCGAGTTCGTCGCCGATGACAGTCAGTCACCCACCGCCGATGATTTTGCGCAGGTCGGAACTGTCCACAAGACGGTCTCTGAGAGACAGGCTGCGGTTGTGGCCGAGATCGTCGTCTCCCAACGCGTCATCAAGCGGATCGACAACCTTGTCACCGAGGCGCTTCTCAAGGCCTTCTTTTCCGACGACGCGCTGCGGGCCATCTACCGCGAGAAGGCCGACAAGGTCAGTGGCGCTGGTGGCACTTCCGTTGCCCTTTTGGCTGCAATCCGCTCCGACATTGCTGGAGTTCGGCCGAAGCTCCAGAGGATCATCCTCGAGACTGTCGGCGTCAAGCCTTTTCTAGCTGCTGGTTTTGGCACTCAGAGTGGACGGGTCCACTCCGACTTTCGGCGGCGTTACCGCCGCCTCACCCGGGCCAACGATTGGCTCGAGGACGAGCGGCTCAATTCCACACAGCTTACTGCGCTCCTCCACAAGTTCCTCTCCGAGCTGACCAGTGCGTCTTTCCGATCCGACGTCGACGCCACGCTGAACGCCATCGTCTGCGCGATGCGCAGCGCCGTCATCACGGACATGGATGAGGCCGCGGTTCTCGACTCGACTGCCGGCGTCCCAGTCCGGGGGTGTTTCTCTTCTTATCCGTTACCATGTAGAGCAACGCCGAGGGCGGGCCCTTTCGGGCTCGGGCCGCCCTCTCGCCCGCACCTCTGCGGGGCTCGCACGCGGCCTGTGCGTGTCCTCGCCCTTGAGGGGGGAGGGGAAGGGGCTGTGTGTCTGTGCATGTGTGTGTGTGTGTGTGTGTGTGTGTGTGTGTGTGTGTGTGTGTGTGTGTGTGTGTGTGTGTGTGTGTGTGTGTGTGTGTGTGTGTGTGTGTGTGTGTGTGCGTGTGCGTGTGCGAGCCGCCCTGAACGCCACGAGCGCGCCGCGAGCGCCGTAGCGCCGGCGAGCGCCGTCGGCAGCGCGCGACCGCCACCCAAAAGCGGAGGTACATCAGGAGCCGCAGCCGGCCTACTCCTCGCGGAGCGACGCGTGGCGCGCGACGCGCGCGCGTGCGCGTGCGCGCCCAGCCGAGCCCTAGGCCGTATGCCGTCTGCCGTCTGCCGTCGGCCGTCGGCCGTCGGCCGTCGGCCGTCGGCCGCCGCCGCCGCCGTAGCGGCGGCGAGCGCTCGCCTTTTGCGCGACGCGCAGTGTGGACGCGCGTCGCCCGGACGTGCCGGAGCCGGTCCGGCGCGCGCGCGGGCGGCCAGCGCCTGTAAACAGACAGCTGCCGCCCACACGTTCAAAGGTGCATTAGGTTATTTTTGAGCTTAGCTTCGATGTCATGTACAAATATTTATTTTTCCTCATTAGCAATTCCTCCCATGCTGGCGGTGCCAATGTTCCTGCTCGGCCTCGTCGCCACGCCACAATCCGCCACATCGCGCCACGTCCTCTCGCGTGCAAGCTCGCCCACCTGCAGCATCGAATCGGAGACGGCCGAGACTCAGAGCGGCACTGCGCCAGCGAAACCTCCAGCCGAGCCTGGCTTCTTTGCTGGCTTCGGCGCCGCGGCTGGCCTGGTCGCCGCCCCGATCCTGCTCTTCAGCGTTTACAACGTCGCAGCCACCGGTGGCGGACTCGATCCCGGGCCTTATGGCCTTCTGGGTGCTATCGAGGGCGTGTCATACCTCGCTGTCGTGGGCATCGCCGGAGCGGGTCTCGTGAGCAAGGCGAGCAAGGGCACGGGGCTACCCGCGGGCCCGCTGGGGCTGCTAGGCCTTTCTGAGGGCCTTTCCTTCCTCTCGCTTCTGCTGGCGGTCCTCGTGTTTCCGCTCAAGGAGTTTGGGGTGGTCGGCGACCCGCAGACCGCCGCGGTGGATGTGCCTGCGCTCGCCGCGGCCGTGGGCGAGGTGGTGTCGCCGCTGGTCGCGTCGCTCGTCGCCGCGGTGACCAGCGCCGTCGAGCAGATTGACCTGCCGCAGGTCTGCAGCTCGCTATGGCCAGAGGGACACCTGGACTCGGCACACCCGACAACGCCGCGCCCGCAGCTCACTGCCGTGCGCATCCCGACCGCTTTCGCCCCGGAGAGATGGTCTCACCCTGGCTTCCCTGCCGCTAGGGGTCACTCGACGGCGGCAGTCTCCCGAACCTCTCCGCGGTAATCTCTTCGCTCCATCTGCCAGACAGCCTGCCCTCCCTCCCCGAGGGCCTCTCCCTCCCCGAGGGTCTCTCTCTTCCCTCCCTCCCCGACGGCCTCTCCCTCCCCGACGGCCTGCCCTCCCTCCCGTCGCTGCCCGACGGCGCGGCGCCCGAGCCCAACGCCCCGGCCGTCCCCGTGTCGCTGGGGGAGTGACGAATGACGTCGCCATGTGTTTTTTTTCTATGATCAGACTGACTGACTGAGAAAGATCGATGTAGAGGCTGGGCGTGTGTGTGTAGCTTGTTGCACGAGTATACGTACGTACGTACTTTTAGCTTACTGGGAGAAAAGGGAGAGGGGGTTGTGTTCTCTAGGCCCCTAAGGGCGCTACGCGCGGCGTGAGAGCTCGGAAAGAGTACCTCAAGAATCGTAGTCTTTATTAGTATCTTGGTACTTGGAGCACTTGTGGAGATGGAGTGCAGTCTGCAATCTCACATCCATAGAAAAGAAGGCTCACCGCCTGGGCCGGAGGCGGTGGTCCGATAAGCAAGTAAAAAACGGAGGGGGGGGCCTGCGCCGGAGGCGGTGTCCGATAAGCAAGTAAAAAACGGAGGGGGGGGCCTGCGCCGGAGGCGGTAGTCCGATAAGCAAGTAATAACATTGTGGCGAAGAAAGTGGGGAAATCCGCGTCACGCGGCCGTCCTTTGCGGAGTGAGTGCGTCCGCTGAGCCGCGGTGACACCGGCCTGCGTGCATGCCCTCTCCCTGCGAGTCGCTGCAGCAGCTTTCCAACCCGCCAACCCCGCACTACAGGCGCAGCATGCGCGCCCTCGCTCTCGTGCTCCTCCCATCGTTCGTCGGGGCGCCCTACGTCCTGGGCCAGGATGATCCAACGGACGCCGAGCTGCTCTGCTATGGGCGGCGCTACTCCGATCTACAAAAGGCCTTCGGATCACACATTGGGATGCTGCGCAAGCACTGGAACGACTACGGACGGTCCGAGCGGCGTAACCCACTCTGTGAGCGGGATTGGCCCGAGCTGGTGCATCGGAGGATGGGCTCGTGGCTCGTCTCGGCGCTCGGGATTTCCCGCGGGGGCGCTACAGCACCCGAAGCTGATCGGCCGTGCCCGCGCGTCGAGCCTCCCCAGCTCACGGGAGACGAGCCGCCCGGCGAGCGGCCGCTGCTCTCGTTTGAGGTATGCGGCGGCCTGACCAACCAGCGGATCGCGCTCGTGCAGGGGCTGCTCATCGGCAAGCTCACCGGCCGCGCTGTCGTGCTGCCCTTGCTCAACCCGAACGGCCGGCAGCGGCCGGACAGCCTGTACGCCGAGGACCGCGAGCACATGGTGGACTTCTCGACCTTCTACGACCGCAATGCGACCGAGGCGGCGCTGCGGCGGCTCGGCATCCGGCTGGCCAGCTGGTGCGCGCTTTCGCCGCCTACTTTCGCGAGCGCGCTTGGCCCTCGCTCCTCATGCGCGGCGCTCTCGCTGCGCTCTCTCCCTGCTCATGGGACCTGATGCCGCGCCACCTCTGTGGCCGCTCCATCCTCTCTGACGGCGCCAGCCCTCCGGCTGCGCCATCTCTCTTTGGTTCCCACCCACCCTCTCCTTGGTGGCATGCTAAGCTCTCACGCTAGCATGGGATCCACCGTGGCTCTCACGGCGATGTCAGCTCGAGCCTCTGCTCGCGTAATGGGTCCTGTCGTCGGCCCATCTTACTTTTGCGATACAGTCTGTTTCGGGCATTAAGAAAACGTAGCATTAAGAAACCCTACCAAGCGATTTCCGCGAAAATCTAAGAAACCACGGCGCGCCGCAGGCGCGCCGGCTGGCAAACGCCGCAGGCGCGCAGGCCTGCAGGCCCGCGCCAGCGCCGGGCTGCAGCCGCAGCCCATACTACGCCTCCGCCCCCTCCGTCGCCTCCCCTTCCGCCTCGGCTGCCCCCGCCTCCGCACGTCGCCCTCGACACACACTCACCCAAGTCCCTCCGTTGATACAGTCGGTTGGCGTCGACGACCACAGACGACGCGGGAGTCTCCCCCGCGAAAAGAGGGGGGGGAGAAGTGGTCAGTTCAAGTTTGTGTCTAGAGGGGTACGCACACTGTGCAATATCACCCCAAACTGCAATACAAGGGAGACTCTAAAAAACCGCCCCGGGGGCAAGGCGCAAGGGGTAAGGGTAAAGGGTGTGGATGCTGGTATGAACAAAATCGGAGGCGCGACCCACTCAGGTCCCACTTCGCCACAGACGGTCCCGCGCCTCGCCGCTATGTTTGCGGCACGCCCCGCACCGTCCGCTGTGCCGCGTTTTTTGTCCGGAGTGAAAAGTCCAACGCGCTCGTCGGTGACGGTGTCCCTCAACCTGCGCCGCGCTCGGCGAACCTCGACAGCGCTTTCGGTGGCATGCAGCTCTTTGCGACAGAAGCCTGGAGAGCAGCTCCTCTGCTGCTCACACACTCTGCACAGCTGACACAGCCTACTGTGCGGCTGCCACAGCTGTGACAGCGATGGGCTCGCCCTCACTGGCCCTCAGTCACTTGTGCTGCGGCTTGTGTGAGCGACACTGCTCGGCGACTCGGCGACTGCCGGCACACTGTGAGACCATGGGTGTGAGGTAAAACCACGCTACCAGCGCTTGGTCACATCAGCCCTGAGGTCATATCCTTCTCCTCTGTTGATGGTAACACTTGTCTACTCGCTGGAGCCGAGCAGGAGGGCTTGGCGCACAACCCCTGTTCAACTCACCCTCCACCACTGCGACCCCGTAGCCAGGCGTGAACGTCAACCTGTGTGAACCTCGCACCGCACATATTCTCTCTATCTGCTATCTCTCTCCCCTGTGGCTTCGGTCTTCGGAGAGGCCTGCACACCCTCTCGAGCCTCGTGCCGACACCCACGGCTGGGCTCGCACGTCGCACGTGGCAGAGGGCAGGTCTTGGTTTTTTCACTAGCTTTTCGCATTTCGGACTTTTCGGCGTCTGAGACTCTGAGTGTTATTAAGGTAAGGTAAGGTAAGGTAAATTCCTCCACACACACAAGTGGTGGGGCAAGGGGGGGCGACCCTCTGCATCTCTCTGAGTTATACGGGGTGTGGACCCCCTGAGTTGACCAGGGGTTGTGCGCCGGGCCCTCCTGCTCGGCTCCAGCCAGTAGACAAGTCTTGTCATCAACAGAGTAGAAGGATCTGACCTCGGGGCCGATGTGACCAAGCGCTGGTAGCGTGGTTTAACCTCACACCCATGGTCTCACAGTGTGCCGGCAGTCGCCGACTGTCGAGGTTCGCCGAGCGCGGCGCAGGTTGAGGGACACCGTCACCGACGAGCGCGTTGGACTTTTCACTCCGGACAAAGACGGCGACACGCACACGAGCTGCGGCCGTGTCGCCGTCTTAGCGGCGAGGCGCGGGACCGTCTGTGGCGAAGTGGGTCGCGTCCCCCGATTTCCTCAACTCACGGTCCGCTCTGTATTCTATAGATACGAAAGAGTTTACACGCGAGCCCACGCGAGCCCACGCGCCGCACACACGCACACGTGCGGACATACCGAGTGGGGGGCACCACACGCGGCACGCAAGAAACGAGACACCGCAGACCCCAAGTACCCAGCCAAAGTATGTTGTACACAATCATCTCGACGGCTCACCGCCAGTCACGTCCGGTTTGCTCTCGCTTCGCGCGCGACCGAGCTGCCACGGAAGATCTCGCCCCCATGGCGCCCCACGCATGCATGCATGCACACCGTGTAGGGCTCACAAAAGAGCGTGCCGGGGCTCACGCAAAAGTTTTAGCCCCTCAGCCAAACAGGCTGGAGGTGACAGCCGCCTGCCGGATCGAGCAATAGCAGGAGAGGAAGATGCCGATCGCGGGCGCCCAGTAGAGGGTGCGCGCGCGCGCGCCCTGCAGGAACCCCATCGCGCCTATGGGACATGTCTCGGAAAGGTCGTGAACGCGCCCTGGTCGTCTCGCGGCGCGCTGCGGGAGGCCGAGCGCCGCTCTGCGCGTAGACCTCCTTGGCCATCCCGACGAAACCGACGGGGAGGGTGCACGCCTGCCCAAGGGGAGGGGGGGGGGGGGGGGGGCCACAAAAGGGGCGTTGGGGGCCAAACCCTCGAGCCCCAGGTCTCGGGACGCCTGCTGGCGCTGTGCGGGAAAGCTAGGTGGGGCAATGCGGGTGGCCGAAGGGCAGCGAAAAGCGCGGGCAGTGTGCCGCGGGCAAGCGGCCGTCGTGAGCTGGTCGCCACACGCCCCACGGGTAATGTCGGACCAGCTCAGGCAAGCTCGGGCAAGCTCGGGCATTTCTCGGCAAATGTCGGGTCAGCTCGTGTGGTTGCGCCTGCTCGTCGCACGCCTCGTCGACGCCCGTGCCTTGCGTGAGGATACGGATCGTGACCACGTCGGTCGGCGTGGTGAGGAAAGCGCCTACAGCCGCAAAAGGCGACGCCGCCGTCAGGCGCCCCCCGTCACTGGGCACTGCCCGCGAGGCGGGGAGTCTGGCGCGGGGGCTGAGGCGCGCGCCGATCGCGCCGCCCGTCGCTCCAAAGAGCGCCTCGGCGAGGAGGGTGTCCACGTCGACGACAATGTCGGGCGAGTTGATGATGTACCTAAAGGAGGGAGCCGCGCAGTCGGGGGCAAGAGCCCCCACGGGGCCACGGCGTGCGAGCGGAGGGGGGGGGGGGGGCGCGTCTTGAGCCCCTCAAAGATGGCGAGCTGGATCGCGCCGAAGGGCACATCCCTCCACAGCGACGAGCTCCACGCGCGCATCACGTTCGCGCGCCCCGCCGCCGTGCCGAGCACGCTGCGCACCTGCGACGGCGGCGTGTCCGGACGCATCACGGACGCGTCTCCCAAGGCCGCCCTTTCCGTGCCGAAGGTATGCTGCCGAGTCGGCCGTCGTCGAGTCTGCGCCCGACTGCAGCCTCGACTTGATCGCCTCGGCGGGCGCGCGGATCACCGACCCGACCGTCTCCCCCGCGGCGCCAGCGAGGAGGTACGCGACGAGCGGGTAGGGGCTGATTGCGGGGGTGGCGAGCAGCGCAGCCTTGGCAGCCTCGTACCCCCCTATTTGTGTGTGTG